GAATGCCGCGCCCGGGGCAGAGCTGTGCGTGGGCCTCGCTGCAGTTTTGCGCATAGTGGGTGCCGCGGGTGCTCAGCGTGGTGCTCCAGAGCCTCACCGGCTCACTCCGTGGCGTTGCTCCCCGGAGATTGTACTGCAGCGATCTGTCCTTGCCGTATCAACAGCCGCTCCTCTGGTAAATGTTCTTGGCGACAGGTAGCCTCCTTAGCATTACCAAGAACTAGTTAAAGGCCAGTTGTGAAAGATGAGCATGGTCTCTTTTTCCCTGCTTGGTGCTGATGGGCAGTACAACTCACTATTTCAGGCATTTCAATTAGGGTGTTCTTCCATGGTACAACCTGCATCACCACCTACATCACCTTGAAACTTCATAAGCTGCACACAAGCATTTAAGACACAGCACACCTTATCGCATGTTTTTGCAATGGTACAGTCTCAGTCTTTTTCTTCTTTGCATGAGTACATTTTTCCCAAGTTTCAGCCAGTTATCCTCCCCCCCATGTCTAATGACTTTTTATATTATTTTGAACAAGATTTCAGAAAATACCCATATGATAACTTGTTTTAGTATCTTTTAAGACATCCTCATGCATTCTCAGTTCCTAAGAAACRTTTCAGTGGTTATGATATGTGTCAAGGAGGAAGTGTGGCCATGTTTGTCAACTGACAGTCTGTCAGATCGTGCAACTGCAAGCAYGGCCAAGGTTGAGTTACCTCAGAGCTATGGCTGGAAAGGCAGGTATCTGGGCTGGATGATTGATTTACTGCATTTTTTAAAATATTTTAGGATACTTTAAGCCAATTCATTCCTCAAGTAATTCCCTTGACTTCATTATTCCCATCTGTCAAAAAATATTTTCATTTTTTTATATCTACTGCTTTTTATATAAATACATTTTATGTATGACTCCCAGGCAAAAATCTTGTCTGCAAATCTGAGCGACATCTCTGTACTAAATGACTAAAGGCCAATATGGAGGCTAGTATTTAGGAGTCAAAGCAATAACAGTTTCTGATCCCTAGCATGACTGAAACACAAGTACTTTTCTTGCAAGTACATGACTAAGCACCGAGTCTGGAAAATTTTGTGGAATGTGGCTCTTGGATCTTTTCAGTTCTAGCTGCCTCATTAGGAGACATCATTCACCAATACAATTACCTTTTTGAAATAGACTGTATTTTTTGTTTGACTGGAAAAGAAACTACTTTTGGCCAATGTGGTGACCCAAAGTAAACCTGTTAAAGAGCTCATCAGTCACCTGAACTGTAGTCATGAACCATGAGCTATCTCCCTGTTCACACTGTTTCCCTGAAATCAGTTAGCCACATTTTACTGATTTTTCAATAGCACATTTAGGCTAAAATTTCACTTCAAAAATCCAATTCACATCTGCAATTACTTGCACCCAGGTATTTTAGCCAGAACTTCTGTAGTGAGGTGTTTGCTTAGGAATAAGAGCAAAATTTATTTGTGCAACAAGTCAAAAAACATCAGCTGCCTGAACATCTTGTATGCAGAGGTTCAGAAAGTATGTAATTTAAATAAATCAAGGTTGTTTTAATCCAATGATTCACTTACAGGACTAATAAAAAAGCTGCCAAATGAGGCATTTGAATATTGATATATGGAAGTGGTCTATTCTCATTGGATGCAGCCATGTAAATGTGTGCTCATTGCAAGAGCTCCGTCCCATTTTGCATATATAGGGGTTTGTTCACATGTGTCCACAAAAAYGTGGAACAATAAAATCATGAATCCTAAAAAGCAGTTTGAATTTCTGTCTTCAATCAAATAAATAAAGCACAAAGGTGTAAGATATGCAGAACTTCCTTCCCATAGGAAAATAATTATTTTCATCATTGCTTTTTCCTCATCTGAGTGTTCTTAAATAGTTAAATATAAATATCCAATATACATGCATACATAGCTGCTACTGTATCTGTTCAAAAGAGAAAGCTGTGAATATTTTTTGAATCTTCATGTATTGCATTTTAAAGGATTTATATCATCAGTTTGAGGCYTAATTTGTACATGGAACCTTGGAAAAGGTTCTGTTCTTTTCTTTCTAGTAAATTCTGCATAAAAAGACACCTTTTCTCACTCAGGCTTGAAGGGCTCAGAACTTGTGCACATTCTTCTCGCGTTCCTGAAAGCAAATAACCCTATTTTATTTTCCAAATGTAGGAAGAATCTGGAAATGGCCATGATACACAGGTATCTCCAGCTGGACAAATCCCTCTATGCGCTACYCAGTGGTTTTTGTTCCACCAAATGTTTGCTTTTTCATGTATTAAGGGAAAATGAATACATTTCATCTACCAATATTTTATTCTATCATTAACAACTTATGGCTGGTACAGAACTGTTGTGAGAGAGTTCTAAAATTAGCAAAGGTGCAATAAGTTGCAGGGTATAAAGTTTTATAGCTCACAGGAGTTTTATAGATATATGGATTTATCTCTTTCTCCACAAATATATACAGACTATCTATGAAAGATTTCAGTTCATTACATTCTCCACTCCCTTGGCAGCCACTAGGTTTTGCTTATGACAATATGCTATTCTTAGGAAATATACAGTAATTATATTGTCTATAGAAGTTCTAACTACTTGCTATGGAAATAAAAACTTGACCACATATATATTTGTTTAATGACATTAAAAGTRCCGTCTCTAGGAAGTATATGTAGAGTTGATTAGATTGCACTGTATACTYTAAGTTGAATTATGTACTTTTGTAAAAACACTCTTCAAAATTATTTAACTTCCCATGGTATAGTTTCAGAAGGTGCAAAAAAAAAGGGCTTTAGCGTTATCTTTCCCTCTTTTCCTGTCACATGACTAGTGCAAACACACACAAAAAAAAATCTTATCTTTTTGTTTCTTTTCTGGTACTTTATAAAATAGCATAACCGGTTTAGTTCCTAGACATTAAAGACTCCACTCGGAAAAGGTGGATGTTATATGTTCTACTCTACTTTAAATGTTTCCATTATATAACAGGAAAGGTTTAGCCATAAGGGTCTTCCAGTGTGTGATGGCTGAAGATTTTTTTTTCTTTTCAAAATAATCCCAGCCCTTCTCTACTGAGACAGTGATGCTATCTGACCAGAAGACCCCTCTACTGTTTGTAGGACTTGAGAAAAATGCTTGGACCCAGGACCAGTATCTTAATGGGAGCATTTAGGCTCAGAATAATATATCTCCTCCATTTAACTGTACCATCCTGGTGCCTGTCCTGCAACTTCACAGCTGTGATGAGCAGTTTAATCTTGACCTGCTAATCATGTCAATAAAATACTTGATGTTTGTTTCAAACGTTTTTGGTGTATTTGAGTAATCAGTGAACAGGCTATTTGAGAAATAGGTGCCATATAGATTATTCAACTTTGATCTATTTCTTTGATTTAGCACTACAATTAAGTAGATTTGCTTCAAAGAGAAAGCTCATTGGTTGATGTTTTACACTGATGTGATAATGTTTACACAGATGTGCTTTGAAATGTCGATTATGGTGGATTTTTGGATCCCACCACATGACAGGCTCCTGTTATCTGAAAGGTAAAATAATATAACATCTATCTGTAACTGCCTTCAGAGCAGGTTCGCCTGTGCTCCCCTCTGAGGTGATTTATCTGATCATTGTATTTAGCATTAATTTTTTCAGTTTTAAATCCCTCCACAGTAAATCACTTGCTTTAAAGCAGCCTTTTTATAATTCAGGTGCACACAGGGGCAGTACTTAGGACTGCAATGATGAAAAGGTGTCACATTACCTGCTTTAAAGCACCTGCCAATTAATTAGCCCTATACTCTCCACAGCAAATAAAGGTAAGCAGTCAAATCCATTTGATCTCTCAGATTTAGACTGTGACTGAAAAGACCATGAAGCAAKACGGGAGAGCTAATCTCTCATGATTCTCTGCAACTTTTTTGTTTAAATGAAACCTTAAACCACCAAGTGATTCTCTTGAACTTTTAAAGGAATTAGCTATGAAAGATCTTTGCATTTTGTACTCTAATACCATGTTTTAACATTGGCAAAGAACTGCATCATATATCTTAAATGCTGATTGTCGTGTCATTTAAGTCTTAAAATTCATTAGACATTACAGAAAAACGAGGAAAGATGGCAAAAGTCAAGCTCTTAGTTTTAATGTATCATTGTTTTACCATTGCTGGTAATGACTGAATAAGTATTCCACCAATATATTTGTGTGAACCATTCTGCTCTGGGAATAAAAAAGTGCATATGCTCATCTGGAACAGGACAACGAAGTCCCAAACGGAGTCTAAACATTGTAGAAATAAAACAGGGATCTTTCAGTAGACGATATTGCTAATTTATGATCCTCACAGACCTTGGCTATGGGCCCAATGAAAAACTCCAAAGAAGATGGATTTTTCCATCTTCCACTTTATTCTTCTCTGCAAGTTTTGAAAATATTTATCCTAAWCCACAGGGCTGCCCATTTATGTTTTTAAGACCTCCTGTCAATACACAAATACTATAGATCAGTTTTGTGTCACATTAATGATAAATTAAATGCGAGGGAGAATTTTCAGAGGGGAAAGCACCTCCCTGACTATGCCAATTTCTTTAGAAATCCCCCTCCTTGTAGTTGGAGCGATAAAAGGGAAGCGTAATGCATGTACATTTTATTAGCGTYTTAGAAACAGGGAGTAAAACTGTCAGATCTTTGTTTTTTTTCTTTCATGTGTGTCTGGGCAGGTCTAACCCTCGGGTAACGCCCTTTCTCCTTCTTCTCCCCTGCCTCTCCTTGCACCTGTCCACGTAATACCCCGCCCGCTCCGCTGYGCTCGGCTCCGCTCCCCTCCGCGCGTGTGCGCGCCCGGCAGTGCCCGGCTGCGCGGAGGGGCGGGGGGCGCGCCCGGAGCCCCCTCCCCGCCGTCAGCGCAGATCAGAGGAAGGAGCGAGCAGAGGGGGAGCCGGTTTACAATTTCAAACGCGGCCTCCCCGCAGCGGCTTCATTAGCATATGTCAGGGGACCGCCGTATATATATCCACACACGCGGGGCTGATGAACAGCACCCCGCCGCCTGGCTCACACCGGCTCGATCAGCACGGCCCGGCTCGGTTCCGTTCGGCCCTGCCGGCTCCCCATGCTTGGGGCTCCGCCGCGCACCCCCACATGCCCACCGGGAGAGGCCGGCAGCCGCTCTCCGCCGCGCCCTAGCCCTCTCGCCCCGCGCCCGCATGGCTCCGCTGGCCGAGCTGGGCGGCTTCCTGGGCGGCCTGGACGGCCTGGGGCAGCCGGTGGGTGCCCACTTTTTGCTGCCACCCGCCGGGGAGCGCCCGGCGCTGCTCGGGGACCGCCGCGCCCCGGCGGACAGGGGGGACCGCCGCTCCTCGGCAGCGGCGGCGGCGGCGGCAGCGGCGGACCTGGCGCACTTGCAGGGCATCCTGCGGCGGCGGCAGCTSTACTGCCGCACCGGCTTCCACCTGCAGATCCTGCCCGACGGCAGCGTGCGCGGCACCCGCCAGGACCACAGTCTCTTCGGTAGGCGGCTGCGGCACGGAACCCGCGTGTGCGCGCTTGTGTGCGTGTGTGTGTGTGTGTAAGCGCGTCTGTGTGCACAGGGAGCAGTCGTGCTCCTGGCGGGAGGGGTGATGCTGGTGATGGTGAGGCAGGTGGATGAGTCCTCAGAACCGAGAGGCTTCACCCTCCGGCGTTAGACCATGGGGTCTGCACCACGGCAGGGTAAGGAAGGAGGGCTGCGCATCCCAGGGGAGTCAGGAGATAAGTATTGCTGAGCCTATGCTGCGGCTCTATAAGCACATGGTAGGTTTAGTGGGAATGGTCGAGGGTCAGCCTGATCCTTTTTCTATTCACTATTGGCATCCGAGTTTCTTGAGTTTTGGGCATGGTGATCCTTAGGCTGCATTAGCTGYTTTGCTGCACTGGACAGAAAGATGAAGCAGAGGAGTCTGAAATGCCTMTTTGATTAAATGCTTAAAATGCTTCCCAGTTATCTTTGTCAATAAACCCCAAGGAGGTGAAGATAACCCCAAAATGTAAAAGTGTCCTGTGATATGAGAGTAAATCCCACATTGTAGTTGTAGAAGATGGACATCTGAATGAACCTGCTCTTGTCAACTACATGTGAGTTTTGGTGTGTATTGATTTAGCCGTCATAAAAAGGTGATTAAAGAGCTTCCTGTCATCCTCCCCATAGTCAAAACAAGCAGCTAGAATGGCTCTTAATTGCTTTTATAACACATGGATGGTTTAAGAAGTAAAACAGTAGTCAAGCAGACAGTCCTTCTCAGAAGGAAGATTTCCTGCAGCGTGTAAACATGAAATAAATCTTGCTTTAAAAGGAAAATCCAGTTAGCTGTAGATCTAACATTTACTGAGCTTTTWAGAATTGTACTACCTTTATTCTACCACTACTCTTGGCAGGTTTGTCTGATGTGGTTTCTTCGTGGGTTGTATCACCTGCTTATTATACTTTTGGAAAAGGATAGCTTTGAAAATGATATCAGAAAGACAAAATACCTCAAGCTCTTTTATGGGACTCAGTGCTTAGGAGCTGGAAAACAAGGATGATTTATGTGTGATATCATTTTTAATGCTTACTCTTTGTAAAGGATTWATTTTCTTTGCTGTTTGTTAATACAACTAAGAAACCTGCCAAAATTCAATTAAAATTGAAAATATTTTAAGTTATTGTATAGTCCAGATAGTCTGTCTGAATGAGAGCAAAAATTATTCCTGAAATCATAAATAGTAAGCAGACAAAAAGTCATAATCAGCTGCACTATTTAAAAGTACTTACCTTAGATTCAGGTGTTTTTTTAATGTTTTGTGGTTTTGCTGCTGAACAGCAATATCTTAGATATGATTCTGGCACTTCTTTTTGAGGCTTTGTTTACACTGTTAACAACTTCCAAAAAGCCAGTTCACACRTTCCCTTTCTTTCATGTTTTGTATGTACTGTAATCTGTGCATATCAATTGGTTAAGTATGTTGGCTTACCTTTGCCAAATACAGGCTTCAAATAGTACCTCATCTCTCAAATATTTTATTAATATATATTACATTTTTGGGCAAATGTAGTATAAATAATGTTATAATCCAAACAGTAGCAAAAAAAGCAGCATATTTCATGCACTTTAAAAGCCTGCACTAAAGASAGCAAGTTGTGTCAAGAGGTGTGGGTCCATATGCTAGATAAGATGTCTGGCAAATACTTTTCTTTTTYTGTGGGTAGATTCTGTTATATAAAATTCCCATCTGTACTTTGATTTCCATTCAAATGACCTAATAATGGATGTGTTTTTTWAAGATAACTCTGTAGAAGTAGTGAAGTATATTTTCAGGTAATTCAAACCTATCTTCCAATATTTGAGTTGGTAGTTTAGCAAATAGTGTACAATCATTAAAGACTCCAACAGCAAAGTAGCGATGGCTTTAGCCTCAGTGCTGCATAAAATCCTTTCACATGCAACRTTAAAAGAAAGTTTCTTTCTACTTGTTTTCAACTGAGTTTTTGRATGCTATGTATGTATTGTGTGGTTACAAAACTAATTAAAGCAATTTTTTTTTTCAGGTATCCTTGAATTCATCAGTGTGGCCGTGGGACTGGTCAGTATTAGAGGCGTGGACAGTGGCCTTTACCTTGGAATGAATGAGAAGGGAGAACTCTATGGCTCTGTAAGTACCGCTTTAATATCAGTTCATACATCTTGAGGTTTTGATCAGCTTCTTAACACTATGTAAACCCCTCAAGAAGTTCAACTCAGCTTTCAAAAAACTAACACCTTTTCCTGTTGGAATATGTAATTTATTTTTGAAATACACAGTATAACCTTGAATCAAAAGAATTGATTTTTACAATGCATTCAGGGTAATACCAGTCTTACATCTTCTTTCCAGTTTTAAAACATCTTGAGATTAAATATTCTGTTTCACCACTTTTTCCGGTTGTGGTCATTCCAGTTTAAAATGTGAGAAGTGATGTACACCASAAAGAAATATGGAAATACCTTCCCTCTCTGTTATGTTGCATCTGAGTCCCTCCACCAAATCTCATTATTAGAACAGTAGATATCCCAAGACAGAGCGCTACATGGTATAATTCCTCTACRGCAGATGAATTAAAGTAAATCATAAATAAGTAATGTTTTTGTATATGGATTGTTATTTAATTCATGTTTAAATCCAGAACTGTGTGAGTACAGGTTCAGGTTTCCAAACTCATTGTCAGGTCTGCATACTCTTCTTGGGTTTGGTTGGTTGACAGTTAAATGAACAGTGAGGCTACACAAAGCCTAAAGCATTTTATTTTATTTTTTTTCATATTTTTTCTTGTGTTCAAATATCTAGTGACAGCTTAACTTACTTTTCTTTTCTCCTTCTTTCTGTAGGAGAAACTAACTTCTGAATGCATCTTCAGGGAACAATTTGAGGAAAACTGGTACAACACTTACTCGTCCAATGTGTACAAACATGGAGATTCAGGGCGGAGATACTTTGTAGCACTTAACAAAGACGGTACTCCCAGAGATGGGGCAAGGTCCAAAAGACACCAGAAATTCACACATTTCTTGCCMCGGCCTGTGGATCCTGAACGAGTTCCAGAACTGTACAAAGATGTGCTAGGATACAGCTGAAGAAAGAGGCAGCTTTGGCAAAAAAGCAAACTGGAGTCATTGCCCCTGCTTTCATGGCAAAGCCGGCATGAGGAGCCTGCAGAGGTCTGGGRTGCTGGATACCAAGATCCTACTTGGTGAAAGGCAAGCCTCTGCTTSCTAACCACTGGATTTAGGAGACAAAGCCTTAAAGCTGAGCATGGAGCAGCCTCATCAAGACTTGCTGAATGGTTTGGTAGCCAGTAATCAGAGGAAAGTGAGACTTTTTAAAATAAAAAGAACTCTTGGCAATTTTGTCTGGATTACCTGTGGCCTGGAAATTAGCAAGGGACTATCTACATCATATGAATGAGACAATGGCTGGAAGAAATGGAAATAAATGGACTGTAAAATAGTAATAAGTCCTGAGAACAGTGTGTGAAGTCTTACCGGCTTCATTTTAGAGATGGACATTAGATATCAATACATTGTAGTCAAAGTTGGAACTTTCCTTCAGGATGGACCTATTTATACATCTCCAGATAGCATATATTTATTTTATATATTTATTTATTAAAGAGTTTATTTTTTACTGGGATATGAAGAGAATACAAGTTCCTAACCCCAATGAGAAATCATTTACAGTGCCAATACTTACTCTGAGTAGTGTCATGATACAGAAATGACATTACCTTGCAATGTATCCAAAACCTGAACATTCATGTTTCATTGTTTATCAGTTACAGATAACATATATTTTATGTGCATACCATTGCCTTTTAACTGTCCTTACTTGGAAAAGAATGTTTAATTTTTTTTAATTTTTTTTTTACCAATGAGAGTGCCTTACAGGTCTGTACTGAATTCAAATGCACATTTTGAAAGGGAATTAAAAATTACTTAATTTTATTTGGTTTTACTGTTATTTTTAAACTGAGTCTCTTAGCACACTATGTGCAACCTTTCAAACCTGCAACAATTGGGAAGAGTGTATTGCAGTTACCTTCAAAGAAAAAGTGGTATTAACTCTTGAAATTTTGATTGAAGTCACAACATGCTATTATCTTTATGAACACAGAAATAGCTCTGTATTACTTAAAATTTTCATGTAATATTCTCATCACTATATAAGATGTTTTAATTACATTCCCTATCAATATGGTTTAGAGGAAACAAGTTCAAAATTTCTGGTCTTGCTGAATGAAAGGCTTCTATGAGAGGGTTTTCTCTCCCCTGAGTAAAGAGAATCCTGAGAAGGCAACTTTCCCATCTTAATTACTTATTTAGGCAATATTTTAAATGTGAGATGTTCTGTGAAAACTGTCAGAACAAAGATGAGCTGTGTCTCTGTGCAGTCGCAGCTATACAACAGGTAGACCATGCCAATCTTATTCAGAACTGTCACTTATGATGCACAAACTCATCTGAATGTTATCTGATGGGGAAGTCTCTGCTCTCTGCAAGAATACAAAGGGTTAATGACAGGTTTGTGATTTAGACCTAAACCTGCTGAAGCTTGCTGTCACATCATTGCCACCTGCATGGACAATGTTGGYCCAGGAAAACTGCAGGGAAGGCAGCTCTGGACAGGGCACCAGAGGTGTACCAGAGGTGTTCTCATGTTTCATTTGCCAGTGCTCCCAGTGGGCTCCAGCTCAGGGTAACTCATTTGCTTTCAGTTTTATGCAATCATATATGGTTCAAGTACTGCACATTCATCATTTATGTATAATCAAGGTACCAATGAAAAGACTTCTCCAGTGTATAGCRCACTGTACCAGAACTTCTTCCAATCGATAGTGAGAAGTGGGTGAACATAGGTTACTGGTGGACTGTGGACAAATTCATTTTACTTTCTGCCAAGCAGAAATTAAATGCAGATACAGAAAARCACATTTCAGCACTTCGTGGCTAGYAAAATGGAACTTATTAAGATTAAATGTTTCAGTTAAATTTTCTGAAAAATGAAGAGTGGAAGATCTACAGGCAAKGAAAATATCTTAGCAAAATAACATTGCAATGCACTCCAGTTTACCATAAAATAATGATTTTGTAGGTGACACTGAGCTGCATTAGTAGTAGGTGAATACATGGAGACAAAAGTATGTTTTAAATAGATTTTTCCCCTTGCATCTTTAAAAGGAGTTTATTCCATATAAATAGTGTAAAAAAGAATATAATTCCTATGCATTTCTGGAAAATGCGTTCTGTGTTTAAACCATACCAGTAAGAATTTTCTGCCTTCAGATTAGCAGTTTGCTGTTCATCTTCAAAAGTTCTTTGGAGATATCAAGGGCTGTAATTAACCTTGTTATTATTACTGTGCATATTTTTTAACAGATATGATACAGTCCATAACAATAACTGACAATACCTCTAAATGTTGAATTATGGTCTGAAACTTCTGAATCCAAACACATACCAACCTCTAAGTGAAGAAGAAGAGTGATATGTGCTTGTCCCATTTCCATTTTAGATATATGCAAATAAACATTGAACAAAATGCAATGGAGCAGATACTGTGGTGATGAATGACTGTACAAAACCTCCAGAGCACTGAAATGCTGTCACAGCCTGCTTTTTAGTTCTGGTRTATTGCCATTGAAGGAATATATAGAAGTTCCTTATTTAATTTTGCTTGCAGCATTTATTTGCTCTCTGTTGCATCCTGTCCATCATGATCTCCAGATGCAATTAATATTTTTGTAGTTTGAGAAYGGTGGATACAAAAGCAACACTTCAAAACAGCTATTTTTATATGTTATTAAACTAATAGCTTTGTTTATCAGAGTTTGGGGGGTTTTTGCATGCGGTTTTCACTCCCACTTCAAAAAGCCCGACAGGATAGATGGAGAAATTTGTTCTGTTTAATCAGTAGAATAAATGATATAGTTTACCTCTCATTAAATTTTCATAAATGTATAAATCTGAAAGGTGTGAGCTGCTCTAATACTATGAAGGGAATATCTGAAGGAGGTTACAGTGTTCAAAGTTCAGAGGCAATCTCTGAAGGCAGAGAAAATGACACATCTTGAAAAAAATCCCAGTATGACTGAGTGCCTTATTTTTGCCTTTCTATTTTTTTTTTCTTCCCCAGGGAAGAAAAACCATTCAAGACAGTTAATTCAGTTTGTGTAGCAGTTGCAGCTCCACTTTCTGCTTCCCATGGATTCACCTAGTAGCTGTAAAATTTGGCCCCTTGATCACAGAGCTGGCTGGAAACTGAGCGCTCCATGCCAGTTCTGTATTTTTCAYATATTTTAGTTTTTGCTGCTCTATTTTCCAAAGTTTTACTGGCCGTATGAAAGATTTTCTGAAATCCAGGAGGAACTTCTACTTCTGAACATATTTGAAGTGAAATTGTTACTTCTAATAATCTTTGTGCACTTGATCAGAATGCAGATCTGATTCTTAACAGTCTTCTGTCTGAATTTTTCAGCCATAATAGTTACCAGATATAGGAAAGCTCTAATGCTTCTGAAAATAGGTATTTTTTAATAGAAAAACTGATATAATTAGGAAAAGGGGACTGTTCCTATAAGTTACACAGTCCTTTAATTGGTGTGAGCCATTTGTGTTTGGATGGAGCAGTTTAGTCCTGTCCATATCTTCGTGCTTTCTATCATAAGCTTACTGATGTTATCTTTCATACTCAGGTGTGACAGTCAGCTTCACTGCTCTTGTCTGAAAGCTGAAATCCCACGTTCAGCCATGCACTCTGATAGCACTCCAGSGTTGGGCAAAATTTACTTTCTGACATGTGAGAGTCATTTAACAAGCATACTTTCATCACAGCTTTCATTTCCAGCTTTCATTTCCTTATGTGTTTTGTGAATTCTTTTTTTTTTTTTCATGGGCATCTAATCTAGCTTCAGGACCTTTGTGAAGTCTGCCTAAACCTAGGCCTTTACCAGCAGCTGTAAGAGCAATGGGTGTAACTTAGTTGTTCCCTTCTGCTTATGAAATCTCAATAGTACCACCATGCCATGGCTCTAGGCACACCCTTACAAATCCTTAAGTTTGCCTCACTACTTTTCTATACAACAAAGAACTAAACAAAGCTAAGGCAATTTTATACATGATAAATGCATCTTTACTATTGCCTTAATGTACTGGRCCAAGCCTGTGTCAAATACTGAGAACATAGTGGTAAGATGCTTAGGTTTTGCTCATCTTGCTCCATGCTGCATGGAGATGGTGTCAGTAAGGAGACWTTTTGGAAATCTTTACTGCATTTTCTAGTTTCACTTTTAATGTRAGAAAAACTTTTGACTTCACCACTATTCTACTCTTTGCAATTACTTGGTAGGTTTTTTTAATAGTGGATCCATTTGARGACTCWTGTTRTATGAACATAACAACAGCTRCCTGAGATGAGACAGTACCACACTGGGAGAAAGTACTTCACTGGGAGGAGAATAAGACATATGTACATTCTAGGGATTCTCCTYTGAACTACTTCMTTTTATGAGGAAGAAAAGAGAAATAAACATTTCACAATRTTGAAAAATGTGATGGTGAAAATCTGCACTTCCCAGACATCTGCATAAGTGTACACTTTATATGACATTTYTCTTTAAAGTATTTCCTTTGCAGTAGTATGTTCAGCAACTGTGGTGGAATTGTTGCTGTTAGTGTACCTAGTGTCAGTGCTTGTCTCTACATGGCAATAAATATATTGCTAGACAGGGAAAGAGAACATTCTAAAATTGTACCATTAAATCTGTGAAGTTTGGTTTATGGAATTAGCTTTAACTCAGTTTTTGATGGAAAACTTTGCATAAGTTTTGAAAAACCTGTATGATTTCGTAACAATCAGAGTTCATGGGCAGAAAATGAGAAAGTAGTAAAAGTTCCTCAGGTGGGGCATACTTAACCATGACTTCTTTATCACTAAGTTGTGCACAAATAGGAAGAAAAAAAAAGGTATCCAAACAGGGAAGAGGTCAAACAGTTACTTCTATTGCCGGTTGGAGAGATATTAAATTTCAAACAGAAATTAGTTGGCAGCTTGCCAAAATAGCTGTTTAATCTGCAACTTGATCAGACACCAGAACCATTCTGGAAGTGCAGGAAAAAGAGAAAAAAAACTGAATTAAAGCAGTGGTGACAGTAGCTCTCTGTATT